CCCTTTCAGGCCTGGTCCTTTTCAACTGTCCTCACCTGCTGGCCTGACTGCCCACAAATGTCCTCCCCTGCTGGCCACCTGGAGGTGGCGGTTACACATATCTGTGAGTATACTAAAAGAATACTGAATTGTATACTTTAAATGAATGAATTGCATGGTAGGTGAATTATATCTCAATAAAGCTATGAAACATTTTCAGCTTTATTGTCTCTAACTTCTGGCTTCAAGCCATTTTCACCTCCAGCAGCAAGAATTAAACAAAGCACATGCTCTCTAGATCTAGACAGAAAGCTGGGGCAAGCATACTCATGCTCCCCTGACGATGGGATGAGGCAATTCCGTGATTGTGTGAACATCACTTCTGAGAAAGTATAATGACCTATCTCTCCTCTAGGTGACAGCAGCATGGCTCTACACCAATCTGCCACTATTGTGGCAATCAGCACAGATAGCAAACAAAGTTCATTTGCACACATGGGGAGACGGAAGGTATAATTAAAACTGGATCTTGCAAGCCCACCTCTCTGAAGCAAGTGTGATGAAGCAGCTGGGCTGCCTCACTTGTTGAGGATAAACATGAAACAATTAGCCACAGACTCTGCATATAAAGACATGACCACAGGGAGGCCTTCAGGCCAAGTTACTCTACATTTTCAGTGAAGCAAAATATAGGCATTTCAAAAATAACTAAATGTCAAATTCTTCCCTCAGTTAAAAAGGCCCCTTAAGTATAAACCTCCAACATCAAGTAGAGAATTCTATTCAGCCCACTCAAGGCCAGTGTTTTGTCACCACCTGTGCATGCATGTTAGCCAGGACTCTACAAGGTGTCATCAGCATGTCTGCCCTGCCAGTTCACAGACTCTGCAAATTCACAGACTCTACAAGTTCACAGACTTTGCTGCTTAAGACTTAAGTGAAAAATAAACCAAGCAAGTAGGTATGAGATGGGTGCAGATGGCCAAAAACCCAGAACAAACAAAAAAGGAAACGCTTGGGTCTGAGGTCAAAAGGACTGCTGCAGAAGGAACTCAAGCACTTATATAAAGCATGCTAATCCAATCTAACTTCTGATTTTGTTCATACAACCCATATTTACAGAGCAAGGCCCTGCCCAAACGCTGACGATACAGCAGTAGCTAGAACAACGCCTTGCCTTCCAGGAGGAGAGACAGCAGCCAATTCTGGGACAGGGCGTGTCCTCACTGCAGCCAACAGAGCCACCAGCCAGGGACCTCACTGCTCTGTATGCCCACACCCTGCACTACAAGCTTGCATCATCCCACCGATCCAATAGCAAATGTGTCTCTCTGTTCAAATATTAAGAATATAAAGGAGGGGTCCCCTTTTCTCTCTCGCTCTCTCAAAAATTCAATTAAAAACAAAAAAAACAAAAAACACCAACAAATCCTGGCTGGGTGACTCGGTTGGTTGGAGCATTGTCCCGTACACCAAAAGGTGGTGGGTTTGATTCCCGGTCAAGGCACATACTTAGTTTGAGGGTTAAATCCCCGGTCAGGTGTGTATGGGAGGCAACCAATTGATGTCCCTCTTTGTCTCTCTAGGAAAAAAAAAAAATCAAATGTAAAGGAGGAGGCAATGGGGACACAGGTGACCAGTGAAGAGTGACAGTGGAGCAGGGACAAAAGGCCCAGAGAGGCAATCAGTCTTGATCTCTGGATCTTAGGAGCTGCAACACACAAGAGACATGGAGGCAAGAAAGTAGCAGGGCATTCCTGCCTTCTCAGACTAGCTGCTTCTGGAGGAATTTAGGGGAAGCACTGATAGGTCAGGGCAACTAAGTGTGTCTATCGTTTAGCAAACCAGCCCAGCCCACTGTCACAGGCACTGAGCTTCACAGATGGTCTTCTTTCCAGTGCATTCCTAATCCACTGGTAACAGCTGCTGTGGTAGCAGCAAAAGGCCACAGCTTCCTTGGCATACCCTACCTATCACGCCCGACCTATCAGGTGGCTCTGCCTCTCCACCCTGTGAATCTGGTTGGCCTGGGAGTTTGCTTTGATCAGTAAAAGCTGGCAGAAGCTACAATAGATCAGTAAAACCTGGCAGAAGCTATCAATACAATGCATGAATTCCAAATCTAGACCTCAAGGGACTTTACAGCTTCCACTCATCCCCAGGCAAGCAAGGCCATGTTTTCACTGGAGGGAGAGAGTCTATTAAGGATTAAGATTCTAGTTGAGGCTGTGGAAATATAAGGCCATTATAGACCATGCAGCCCCTCAAAGCCAGCCAGACCAGAAGAACCTCCAAGCCTACACTCAGACACACAGGCAATAGTAAATGTTTGTTTTAAGCTACTAAGTTTTGTTCTTTACCAAAGCTAATTGATACAAATTTAAATTTTAACTGCTCCTAAAAGGAATGCATCAGTAGGTAACCACAACTTAAAAAGTACCCTATTTACCTCAGGATATGCAACAGCAATTTGATTCCTTAATTTCTGGCAACTCTCCAGGTCTATACAAATACCAAACATGATAGTTGTATTTGATTAATATAGACAACAATTGCAATTTATTAAAACTTTTATATGCTCTAAATATTTTGAAATCTTTACAAAATGCCATCTCTAAGTTCCTTATGTATAAAATGACCCAGTTACTTAGTAAAAGTAAATTTCTCAGAGAAGGACTACAACCTATTTATGACTCAACAATAAGTGTGTGTTTTTTTTCTTTTCTGGGGCCTAGTTTTAGTTGATAAAGACCATGAAGCAGAATAACAAAAAAGATGCTCTAAAGTAAACTTAGTACAATTCTTTTTTTCTTTTCTTTCTTCCTTCTTTCCATCTTTTTAAAAATTTGATCCTGTTATAAACGCAGACCACAGTGAATGTGTTTAGCATAGGATGGCTACATGGTGGAAAATCTTCCAAACATTTGCCTGGAAGAGTTTTGGGAGCTCACTTAATGTCCAGACCTTTACCTATTTCCTACAGGTGATTTATGGAAGGGTGTCTTGGTCAGCCAGGAAATGCGGTCATGGAACCAGTAGCCACTCATTAGCTGCTCAGGGTCAAAGGTTGCCTATGCTAGACTACCTTCCCTACAGAGGCTGCATCTTACAACATAGTGACTTAGGAAGCTGAACAGACAGGTCCTGCCAGTTTGAGTTACCACTGCCCTGATGGAGTGATATTTGATGTCCTCCTCAAATAAGACCTTAAAAGAAGTACCCGAGTTCAGACACTATGAATCTGGGCACTCAAGTGAGAAATGGTGTGCCCTAGACTCTAAGCAAGAGGCCAGCCTTCTTTCCAGCATCCCTGCTGACCCCTTTCTAGCCTCACTAGGCTCATCTCCTCCGCTCCCTCCCCCTTTTCATGAAATGCACTCTATAATTAGGCAGTGCCAGAGGCTAAAGGAGGTTTCCTTCAGGCCCCTTCACAGCCTGGCCCACAGCTCAATAACTGTCTTATTTTCTGTGTAGCATCTTGATTTCTTGATAGAAAAACCCAAGCATAAGTTAATCTGCTAAAGTTTAAGTTCATTTTCTTGCCCTTACTTTTGACATTAGATCAGGAAAAACTTCTAAAATATTACTGTGCCCAGTGGGTGTGGTTCAATGGTTGAGCCTGACCCATGAACCAGGAGGTCACAATTCGATTTCCAGTCACGACACATGCCCAGGTTGTGGGGTCAGTCACGAGGAGAGGTTGTGCAGGAGGCAGCTGATCAATGATTCTCTCTCATTATTGATGTTTCCATCTCTCTCTCTCCCTTTTCCTTCCTCTCTGAAATCAATAAAAAAAATGTAAAAAACAAACAGATACTACTGTAAGTCAATATGAAATATTTTAAAAAGATAATATATTTAGGCATTACATTTGAAAATAAATAATTTTAAAATATTCATTCTAATGTCATTTAGAAAAATCAGAAAAATATTTTCTAATATATTATGTTGGTCTAAAACTGTCCTTTAAAAATATGTAGCCGAAACCGGTTTGGCTCAGTGGTAGAGCATCAGTCTGTGGACTGAAAAGTCCCAGGTTCGATTCCAGTCAAGGGCATGTACATTGGTTGCGGGCACATCCCTGGTAGGGGGTGTGCAAGAGGCAGCTGGTTGATGTTTCTCTCTCATCGACGTTTCTAGCTCTCTATCTCTCTCCCTTCCTCTCTGTAAAAAATGAATAAAATATATTTTAAAAAATACATATGTATATACATAGATACATACATGTACACAATTGTTTTTGCCAACATTATCAGTTCAATCTAATATTAGGAAATTTAAAAAATACAAATGTTATTATGGCTGACCTAGAAAAACCTGTGCAACACTTCCCATCCAGGCTCTCTAATGATGAGTGCTCAGTCCCACCCAGTCACCCTGAGCTTGGGGACTGTGTCACCCCCACATTTCAGACGAGGAAGCTGACATGTAATCAGGCAAATGAACAGCTCCCCACTCAGGTAGGCAGTGGCTGAGCCAGGAGAACCTGCGTGCTACCCCATGGTTCCAGTCTGCACTCTATAGCACCAGGCAGCTTCTCAAAAGAGGAAAGTGCAGAGACAACATGATCATAATTTTAAAGGACAGAGAGGAGGATCCCATTTTCCAAAATGAAAGGAGAAATGCAATGTCACCATTTGCAAGGATTTTATTGGGTGTACCAAAGCCACCCTTAGTCAATTTCATTAAAAAGCAGCCTAACCAGCAAAATGTAATTTGGAGCATAATATTCAACTTTCATGCCTTAGCTGGTTTGGTTCAGTGGGTAGAGCATCAGCCTGTGGACTGCAGGGTCCTGGGTTCAATTCCAGTCAAGGGCACTCACAACAGTTGCAGGCTTCTACCCTGTCTGGGCCCTGGTCAGGGCACGAACAACAGAAGGCAACCAATCGAAGTGTTTCTCTCACACTGATATTTCTCTTTGTCTTTCCCTCTCTCTAAAAAAAAAATAAATAAATCCTTGGGTGAGGATTAAAAAAAAGAAAATATAAGAAACTATTCCTCCAAAAATCACTTCTTACCTCAATGTCGAACATTTCCACAGAGTTGTCCAGCAGCTTTACTCGGAGAGGAAAGCGCTTCTCTTGCATTCTAGCTGCCATCTGCGCCATCCCTGCCGAAGGAGCCTGCCCGGGCTCCAGGGTGCTCACTCCTGCGAGGGGCTGGGCTCCAAGGCGTGCCCCTGGGGTCTGTAGGGTTCGGTATGTTCCTTCTATCTCCCCCATTCTTCATCAAGTAAGAGTGAGGAATACGCTACAAAAAAATAAAACCCAAAGAATCACCACCAGGTATGTAGACATTAAAACAATGTAAAAAATGACCAGGTACACAGGAATTCTCTGCATGATTTTACAACTCCAATGAGCCTTCAATTACATGAAAATACAGAGGTGCCCTGGGTGGGTGGCTCAGTTGATTGAAGCCGTGTCCTATACACCAAAAGGCTGCAGATTCGATTCCCAGTTAGGGCACACACCTAGGCTGTGGGTTAGATCCCTGGTTGGGTGCGCATGGGAGGCAACCGATCCATGTTTCTCTCTCCCTTCCACTCGCTAAAGAAAAATCAATAAAAACATATCCTTGAGTGGATTAAAAAAAAACAAAAAAAACCCCAAACACTATCTTCTACTCATACTTGGTTGGTGGAACAGAAAATATAACAAGCACCTCCAACAACATTTCCCAGGGGGTTCTGAGCACACGGACCCCAGAGAAGCTCCTATGAGAGCTGCCTCACCATCAATTGGTGGGCAGAGGGCAAGAGGCTGGCAGGGCTAGTCCTTCTCAGGCTCTGCTAACCAGTTACACACCCACTGTGCTGTCCGGGCCTTCAGCACAAGTAACGGGTCCCACGTGGCAAAGCTCCAGTGCACTCAGCAGGCTCCTCATTACTGCTGATGGGTGGGGAAAATTCCAAGGACAGTAGCTCAAGACAACCACCCCTGTCTCTGCCAACTTTGCATTCCTAGGTTTTTCTAGGTCGTGTCTCACCAGGCTGGAATGGGTGCCACCGGTGGTGGGGAAAATACTTTCAGGCGCGGTACAGAGGAGAGCTCAGGTGAGTGTAATGAGGACCACACACCTGAGGCTGGAAGGCACCGTCCCTATCCTGTCCTCACAATGACCACCTGATAACACTGAGGGTCCAACAGAGCTAAGTAGCTGGGGCAGCACTGAGTGCCCTTTTCAATCCTCCTTGTGCCCTGGAGAAAGTCTCTATTTTTAAGCTACTGATTTCAGCAGGGCAAATCACTTCAGAGTTTCTTAACAAAGAAAGAACAGCTAAGTATCAGGCAGAAACTAATAAGACTGGCTTGCTTTGAATTGTATTTATTAATATAGTTACCTTCTATTTATGGCAAATTTCCTTCTTAAATATAAGTATTTATGTTTGAAAGTCAACTTCAAGAAATATATTTAACAGTAAAACACAATATGGCAAAAACCAATGCCAGATGTATAATCAAGAAAGAATGCAGCTGCTGCTAAGTGTTTTGTTTCACGTAATCATCTTCAAAAAGTCTTATACAGTTTGCAGTAAAGGTTTTAGAGGATTAATCTCACTACATTCTTGGTCTAGTCCCTTGCTTGCAAACTGCATGGCTGGCTGAGTCCTTTGTCCCTTTCCTCTTTGTCATGCTTATTTTGTTATCAAGACAAACACATGAACTTTTTATTTGACTTAAGTCCTAAAAGCTTCTCAATGACCAGGTGCCAGGCATCCCACTCTGACCACTTAAACCCTATCTGGGCAAGAACTTCCATGCACATCTGGTTTATCAGGCAGTAAGCACAAAGCAAGAAGTGAAACCCTCAGGAAAGTGGAAGGTGAATAGCACGGCACCTTGAGGTCGTGTGTTATTCTGCCAAGCACACGTCCTGTCTCAGTTCCTACACACTGAAAGGACAGATCACCTCTCGTTTGTTATCTGGGCCCCACGTCTGGGTTGGGTTAGCAGTTACCTATCATCTTCAGAATTCTCTCCAGGTTGTATGCCCCTGAGAGCAGGAACTAAATGCTACTGAAAATGTCTGCTATGTGTTTACTTAAAGTCATTGGCATCCAAGAACCTGAACTGCCTTATTATGCAATGCATTGTATAGAGTTCAGAAACAAAGACAGGGCTCCCTCACAAACAGGACACTTTAGGAAATCACTATTTTCATGCCATTAATAATAAACCCGATATGTACAGGTTCTGAGAATCATAAATACGAGCTTTTTTAGTACAAAAGTGAGGGGATGTCAACCTTGAAGGTGTCTCCTGTATGAAACATGAAGTTCTTGGTCAGCTCTCACATTTAGCGAACCCAGAACCATCAAGAGCACATGTGTCAAACACAAGGCCCGCGGGCCAAATCCATCCCGCCAGGCCTTGCAATGTGGCCCGCACTGCACTGTCATCACTGCACTCTGCTGCGTTTCCATCACAATGACAGTTTATGACTGTTCAGTAAACCATTCGGCCCGCGATTTAGGCTGGATTTTAGATTTTGGCCCCTTCTCTGATTGAGTTCGACACCCCTAATCAAGAGTAACATCTTCTGAAACAAGCTGGGGGGAGTTTTATTTGGGCACCAAAGCTACCTTGTCCACGTTTAAGCCAAGCTACAATTCTGAAAACATATGTAAACCAGAATACATTTTTAGAAGTCACTACCCTTATTTATTTCATTGTATAATTCTCATTTATATTTGTTCTTAATAATTTTAAATGGAAAAATCTTCTTCATGCTCTTTCTCTTCTATTCATTATAAGAAAGTCATCTCTACACTTGTAAAAAAAGGCAAGAAAGACCAACCTATAGTGTCCAGAGGGCACATTCAGGTGAAAAAACTCTAAGGAAAATATGCAAGGAGGTTATTACTAGAAAAGTCAGGGCAGTGGTCCCTCCTTCATGGTAGGAGAGGTCTGACACTGGAGGGTAAGGGGGCTCAGTTCTATTACTTGACCAGGATTGCATTCACTTTATAAGTAAGCTAAAGAATTGATTAATGTGGTTTTTCTATGTCTGTGTTTATTTTATAATGAAAATATATTTAAAACAGCATACTTTTAATTTAACGCTGCTTCATCTGTCAGAAGAACGAAAGACATATTACACATAAAAGACTTTTCTTAGATCAAGGAATGCTAAAACATGGCTCCCTAGAGGAAACTCCTTCCTCACAGCAAACTCAAATCCACTCTACTGTAAACATTGGCATGGTTGACGCTGAAACTCAGGGAGGAAGACAGATTCACTCTAGTCAATGCTCCAGGAGGAACCCTGCTGTGACATTCCAAAGAAAGATCTATCTGCTATGACATAATAGTAATGTGGCTTAAACTACCCATTTAATAAGCATTCAGCTTTAAGTTTAAGAAAGCCTTGAAAGTAGGAAACTCCAGTGCTGTGAATATCAGCTAACCTTGTTCTCAAAGTCTATCCATCTATTTCAGAACAAGCAGCATAATTGGATACTTCCTGTACAAAGTGAGGCTGATCATTCAAGTCACTTCCTACAGCCTGACTCCGGGAAAGATGTCTGCATTGAGCCTTTTTTTTTTTTTTTTTTTTTTTTTACAAATTATGACCTACAGAAGTTACTTTGTTCCATTCTGTGTGCTTATAAACTAACATTACAAAAGCAAGGATATGAAGCTAGACTGGAAATAAACACAGCAAGGTCAGTAGCAGTCCCCGACACACCCAGTGTTCTGCAGCCCCTGCTCACGTCTCTGCTGCTGCCAGAGAACCTTTCCAGAAATCCCGAGAGAAGTGACCTCCAAGGGACTGCAGCCCATTTTCCCATCTTCCTCCCACCAGACTGAAATGCTTTGTGGTCTTCATTTCTAAAAATACTGCTGGTTGCTGGATAGTTTCCACTACTGACTTTTAGTGCTACCTACGACAAACTCAGCTCCTATGCGTACATACTCATTTAATAAAAAACTTAAAAAACCATCTTGAGACATATTCCACCTTGAAGTTGGAAGAATTTGGTTCAAAAGTCTGCCAAGGCTTTGACTAACGAAGTGTCAATGCAGGTTTTTAACAGATGTTGCCTGGGGAGGGAGGGTGTTGATATCAAGGGAGACTGTGCCAGGAATGGGGCAGGGGTCGTATGGGAATTCTCTATAACTCCACTCAGTTTAGCTGTGAACTAAAAACTACTCTTAAAAAAAAAAAAAAAAAAAGGAAAGAAAAAAGAAAAACGTCTAGTAAAAACAAAAATCTTCCACAGAACACATAACTCAGAAGTGACAGTCAGGACTCAAGCCCAGCCTGGATTTGGCCACCATGTTTCCGGTCTCTGCTGGAAAACCAGCTCACAGCTCCCCAGACACAGCAGCCCGTAATCACACTAAGGGAGCTTGCTCAAATTTCTCTGCGCAAAAAAAATCCACTTTCCATGAAATATTTTTGGTTGCTTCTTTTAGGAGGACCAAAAAACACACAACAGGTTCTCAAATAATATTCTGTTCAATGTCATTTCCTTACAACGATGAGGAAAGAAGTCCATTCCCGGTGGGACCACTGTCTGTGTGGAGTATGCACGGTCTCCCATGTCCACATGGGTTTCCTCCGGGGACTCCGGGCTCCTCCCAAATCCCAAGGATGTCACGTGAGAATGCCCTATGTACATGAACAGTGCCCCTATCTTTGTGCGCCTGGGTGGTGCTAAGATAGAAGGGCACCTGTGGGGGTGGACGGGGCACCCTCACGTAGCATCATGAGCTGCTGGGAGAGGCTCCGGCCGTCCATGACCCTGAACTAAAACCAGCAGGTTAGAAAATTGTTACCTTAATTTTCAGTATTAATGTTTCTCAAATGTATGCGTAGCTGACATTTATTTCAATGTCTAATATTAGAAGTGTTTGGGGTCTTTGTTGAGAAGTTTGGTGATGTTTTTGTGACCAGAAATATGTAGAACTTAACTCTGATTCATATCATTAGCTGCTGGTAAAACTGGTTTACTTTAGTTTGTTTCTCTTAATGTCACAATTTCCAAGAACCTGTCGACGACTAAATGAGGACTTGCTGTACTTCTACAGTGACCAACGAAGGATGCAGAAGATGGCACTCATTCCTCTGCATGTTCCAATATCCTAAACCCCATTGCAGTGCTGGGAATGAACTTTTGGCGCTGATGGCATTTAAATGGAATTGTCACCCTGGTTCTCAACCCTGCATTGTACCTCTTTAACACAATGCAATAAGAGAGGGACCTTTTTATTCCCTTTCTACTAAGCATGGCTGATAGGTTTTAAGGTAAACAACTGAACAACTCAATCAATTGTAAGGAAACTGAGGAAAATTGTCAGAATCTGCATTGCCAGGCAAGACTTTGTAGAGCTGACAAGGAATAAACAGCTGGCCAGTGGAGGGTGGGTGGGCATCCCACCCAGGAAACAGGGCCAGCTTCACAACACCCCTTCTCCAGGAAACAGCCCATCTGTTGAAAGCCACAGAAAACACATCTGGTGCTGAAAACCTGGGGAGAAGGGTGCTTCGGAACTCACCTGTGCACCTGCTCCAGCAGGTGCTTCAGGATCGATGTCACATATGCGAGGCCTAAGGACTGACAAGAACCTGCATCCTGGGCAATGCTGTCCCTCAAGTACCAGGAAGGGCAGTCACAGTCACCAAGCTCAAAAGCCTCTGGTGTTGAAGGGCAGCTCACAAAAACAAAGGTGTCCCCAGGCTGTGATAAAAGAGGCCAAATAATCAGATGGACACTCAGGCACTCATGGGAAACAAGGAAGGAAAGACACAGTGTAGCCCGGGGGCAGAGGGTGGAAGTCTGGAGGCAGTGCACCTGGGATCTAAGTCTAACTGGTCATTTCACCACGCCCAGCCCCACTGTTAGGACTTTAGGTAATCAATATTTGCAAACCTTACAATTCTTCTACTCCTTAGGTTTTTAAAAGAATTGCCTGAACGCTAAACAGGTATCAGTAATTTTGACCTTCTACCATCAGGTATTCTGACTTTACATGAAACAAAATTCTATTAACTGAAAAATAAAGTTAAAAATTGTTATTTATTTATTTATTTATTTATTTGTTTTAAAAAAATATTTTATTGATATTTTACAGAGAGGAAGGGAGAGAGAGAGAGAGCTAGAAATGTCAATGAGAGAGAAACATCGATCAGCTACCTCTTGCACACCCTCTACTGGGGATGTGCCCGCAACCAATGTACATGCCCTTGACCGGAACCGAACCTGGGACCTTTCAGTCCGCAGACCGACGCTCTACCACTGAGCCAAACCGGTTTCAGCTAAAAATTGTTATTGATTGATTTTAGAGAGAGAAGGAGGGGGGAGGAGAGAGAAACATACATTTATTTGTTGTTCCACTTATTTATGCATTCATTTGTACTCACAACCTTGAAGTACTTAGGTATGGCACTCTAACCAACCAAGTACTTAGCCAGGGCGTGAACAATAAAGTTTTAAGAGCTGAAATTAATTTGGATAGCTGATTCTCAACACTTTAAAAAATATATATAAAGTCGCCCAATTCACCATTAAATCTTCACAAAATCAGAAAGATGTCTATACCAGTACACTGCTTTGATGTGAAAGCAGGTGTTTGGCACACTAACTTCTGTCAGAGGCGGAGGAATATAAACACAAGCATTTGCTTATATTCAAACAAGACTGAAGGATAAACCAGAAACTAATGAGACAGGTGGGCACTGAGTGGGGGAGGGGAGAGGGGTTAGGGAGCGAGTGAGTATGGGGGAGCATTGGGAAGGCATCCTGGAAGCCACTTCTAATATACTATGTTTAGTCACTTTGACTTGGGAACCTTGTAAATGTTCTTATATGATTAGAAAGCAAAATTAAATGTTTTAGAAAAGCCAGCCCTGCCGAAACCGGTTTGGCTCATCGGTCTGCAGACTGAAAGGTCCCAGGTTCGATTCTGGCCAAGGGCATGTACCTTGGTTGTGGGCACATTCCCAGTGCGGGGTGTGCAAGAGGCAGCTGGTCGATGTTTCTCTCTCATCAACGTTTCTAGCTCTCTATCTCTCTCCCTTCCTCTCTGTAAAAAAAATCAATAAAATATATTAAAAAAAAAAAAAAAAAGCCAGCCCTAAAATTTCAAACAAAATGAGACAGATGATCCTCATTGTACACTAAAACAGTGGCTAAACTACAAAGAGAATTAGTTCAAGTGACTTTAAAATTTCGTAACTTCGTTATACAACACTAATAAAATGTATCCTAATGATTAGGACTGCAAGTGAAACCAGAATGTGGCATATTCCATGAAAAAAAAAAAAAGACTTAATTTCTTCAATAAATGGCAAAGAAAGTGGGGAGGGAGAAAAGAAACTATTAAAAGACTAGAGGCCCAGTGCATGAAATTTGTGCATTGGTAGGGTCTCTAGGGGCTGCCGGCTGGATACTCCCTCCTTTCCCCCAGCTGCCTGCTGCTGCCACTGGCCAGCCCACCCCCTGGTCAAACTGGAAGAATGCCAGTTGAGGGGACAATTTGCATACTATGCTTTTATTAATAGGACTAAAGGCCTGGTGCATGAAAACTCATGCACCGGAGGTGGGGGGGGGTCCCCTCAGCCTAGCCTGCCCCCTCAGGGGTTGCCTCAGGGATGGGAGGCAATCTGGCGATCAGGGGAAGGCGATGCCCCCATCTCACCTCTGCTGCTGCCACTGCCCACAGTGCAAACCTTGGCCCGCCATGGTTACCTGAGCCTCGGGCAGCCCTGGGAAGGTGGGCAGCTGCCATCCAAGGCTTGCCTGCACCCCGGGCCGGTCCTGGGTGGCCGTGCAGCTGCCATCCAAGGCTTGCTTGTGCCTTGGGCTGGCCTGGGCAGCTGGGGTGCTAAGGAGACCGGGGGACTCCAGAGGCAGGTGTGCAGAGTGGTGGACCCGCCTGGGGGCGGGCCTGGATGTGCCACGCGCCTGCTGCCCTGGTGGGGCTGAGGGGACAGTGCCAGCATCTTTGAGGGCAGGGAAGTCAATTAGCATATTCCCCTCCTTATTGGCTGTGGGTGCCACCATCTTTGTGAGGATCTGATGGTCAATTAGCATATATTACCTCTTTATTAGATAGGATGTTACCTGTCAGATGTGGACCTAATTTGAATCCTGAATCAAATATTTATGGAACAATCAGGGAAATGTGAATAGTAACAGGATATTATATATTATAAAGTACTGTTAATTTTCTTAATGGTATTGTGTCTATATAAAGGATATAATACAATAATGTCTAGGATTTACTTTAATATAGTAAGATGGATGGGACTATAGATCAAACAAGCAAACAAAAACCCCAATCTACTTGTCCATATGTTGACTACTGAAGCTGGGTTTGATATATTATCCCTACTTTTATGAATGTTTGGAATTTTCCATAAGTTAAATACAAACAGGTCTAACAACAAGTTTCAATGTATATAAGGATCTAAGGATCGCTTGAATAGTGCACAGCTGATAGGGAGTGTGTGAGGTTCCTACACAATGAAATGCTGGCTCAGGCTCTCCCTATCCACCGGAAACCAGTGCCAGAGAATGAAGACTGTGGCTGAGGCCATAGATCCAATCAATGGCGAGAGACCAGCAGCCAGTATCCTGGCTCCCAGGCAGAGGTAGCATAAGTCAAATTCTTCAAGATTAAAAAACAAAACAAAACAAATTTGACTTAAAAAACTACAGCACACATTATAAATTCACTATTTTCTTTGTCACTTTCATTTTATTTCTGTTATTGTATTTTTCAGTTCTAAAATTCCAACTTTTTTTTTCTTTATATCTTTTTTTTTTTTGCTAAAACTTTCTATCTTTCCACTTGTTTCAAGAGTACCCTTACTTATTGGAACATTTCAATAACAGCTGCTTTAAAGTGTATTTTAGTATTTTTATTGCAACCATAACAACTTACCACAAACTCTGCCTCATAAAATAACAGCCTTTTATTATTTCAGTTTCTGTGGGTTGGCAGTCTGGATGTGTATGGACCAGCAGAGATCTCTGCCTAGGGTATCATAAGGTCTAAGTCAGGATGTCAACTGGCTTAGGGTCTTATGTGGCTGCTCTGGGAAGAAGGTACTTCTGGGCTTGTTCAGTTCTGCTTGGATACGGGACTGAGGCTCCCAGTCCATGCTTCTGGAGCTGCCTGTACCCCATGGCTTCCTCCATCTTCAGAGGCAGCATGCTGAATCCTTCTCAAGCTTCCACTCTCTCGGCCAACCCTCCTGCTGCAGCTGAGGAATGAGCTCTGCTTTTAAAGACTTGTGGAAATAGACGAGGCCCTGCTCGATGATCCAGGAAACCTCTTTTTTAAGATTAGCTGATTGGGACCCTCAATTACATCTGTAAAAAGCTTTTGCAGCATAACGTAACATGTCCCAGAAGTGATACTAGTGGATGAACGTCACGAAGGCTCAATTTTTGCCTACTCCAAGACTTTATCAGGTAATTCCAATACCTGCAGTGTTTCAGTTTTCGTCTGACTTTCCTCTTGTGGCATTTTCCTGGTTCTGCACATGCTGGGTAATTTTGAATTGTATACTGGACTTTTAAAAAAATGTGTTATGAGACCTTGGGTCTTGTTTAAATCCCATGCAGAATGCTGGCACTTTTGCTTTGGCAGGCACTGGCCTGGCCAGGTGCAGGCTGCAAGTCCCGACCAGTCATCTCCAGGCTGTGGTTGGCTTCAGCTCATCTGCAGAGGGTCTGTCCTCCCGTGTGCCACAACCGATTGGCTAGCATTGTTTCCATTATTTGAGTTGCCAAAGTCTCTGGCAAATTGGTCAGGGTCAGACCCATATCTGCACAACTCAGTGTTCAGCCCCAAAGTTCATAAACCACTTGGGTCACTTTTCTGAGCTCCTCCCTCTCCGAAAACTCCCTTGTGTACTTTCCAGTTGCCTGGGGGCTCTCCTCAATCCTCCAGCCAGAAACCTCTAACAAAGGGATGGGGGACATCCAGCCCGTGGGCCATATAAGATTGGGGACATCCAGCCCTGGGGCCATATAAGTCATTTCCTGTGACCATACCCATATCTGGAACCAAACTGCAGGAGATGAGGGAGACAAAGCAACAGGGTTCCCCTACTCTCTTAGAGATTCAAGTGTCTGTAGGCTCCTGCTGCCACAGGACTGAGCGGAGGACAGGGAGGGAAAGGACAAGTATGACTTTCTTCACCCTCTCTCTTTTCCTGCAGCTCTCCTTGCTCCACCTGTGCCCTTCTCTGGGTTTCAGATATCTGAAGACCAGGCTGGGGATGCTGAGAGAAAAACAGGAACCTCCCTGTTGGTGCAGTGCACTTTAAATTCTGGCCTTTGTCCCCAATCCGCCTGTCACCATTTACTTGTCAGAGTTCCCAAATAGCTCCACGCAGCTGTCCCAGCTCTCTAGCTACAGTCAGTGGGAGCGTCAGCGTGGAGTGTGCACGTTCTGCCTTCTTGGAATCAGACCTTGACATCCGTGCACACTAAACCATGGCTACAGTGGTTATCTTTGGGAGAGGGGAGAGAATTGATTTCTATTTCCTTTCTTCCGGTAATCTGTACTTTTCAAATTGCCATTACTATTGAAATCAAATGGGTTTTCTGCAGACTACTGGTTAATTACAACTTGCTTTAGAAGTCTTCACCGGTAGGGTTACTTATAGTGTGTTCACCTGCCAAGAGAAAGCAGGAAAGACTATTCCATCTCTCCTCTAGTTGTG